CCCGTCCCCACCGCCGCCTGCAACTGCTGCTCTCACTTCCCCGGGAGATTCTCAAGTTTGATGCTCTTCTTGGGAAACCTTTGTAGCATTGCTACCCATTTCCCTGCCACGAACCCCTCCCTCGCCTTGCTCCGCGAGCGACGACCCGGGAAGGATGGACCCCCCAGACGCGGGTCGGGGTTCACCAGATCCCCTGGGGATCCTTCGCTGGCAGGAGCCGAGGGGGAGCGCGGGACCCGCGCAGAGACCGGGCAAAGCGCCGCACAACTGCGCGGCTGGCAACCTGGGCGCTCAGCTCCGGGGCTGGAACGCAGGGCGCTGATGCCACTCTCAACGGGGGTCGCTGAGGTGAAGCGAGTTCAGGTCCTTGTAGCCCAAGATCGGCGATGCCTGAACAGGTGTCTGCCCACAAGTCCAGCGGGGTAGTTCGGCTTCCGACGCTAAAGCAGCAGGGGGCGTGGTGTGCGCTCTGGCTCCGGGCAGGGGCTGGAGTAGGAAGAGGAAAACAATGGGTCCCCAATAAAACCAAAGGGCGCTTTAGCCAGTTAGCTGACTTTCAGATCCTTCGCTTTTGGGTCATTTCCCAAACCTTGACTGCCTCCACAAGCGCCTGTCTCCTCCTGGCGAAGCCTCGTGCTAACGCCTGCAGCCTGGTAGTGGATCGGAGGAAAACAGGATCGTGGAGCCAGTCCACAGAGCCAGGGGTCTGTGTCCTCGGTGTTCCTCCCCAAAACTCTTTATTCGGAGCTACTCCTCCTGGAAGTTTACAGCCAGTCTCTCTTTCCCATGTTCATTTTCGGAGGGGACAGCAGACCCTGTCAAGTGAGGAAAACCAAAGCCTGAAACTGGAAACCAACCTCTTTCTTAACTCTCCCCTGTTGGGGTTTCACCCACGTTCCTTTCCTTCTGTGTATCAGTCTCTTCGTTTCTGAACTGAGAACGATCACACTGGTTCACTTGGAATTTCTCTTAAGTATTTAAAAAGGGGGGAGGGATTAAACTACCAAAAACATACTCTCTCCAAAATACTGATCAAGGCCTAACCTAAGAGGATTGAATTTCCAATCCCATGCCCGTTTACCCACCCTAATAATGCTGCATTGGTAAGGCATCTCTACACAGCCTATTCTGAAAAGGATCGTAATGTGGAAATGCGCCCAGAGCAGCATAGAAATTACTTCTGAAATGCAGCAGCTTGGGCTTTTCAATTACCCAGAGACGCAAGTAAACAGAACAGGATATATCCAAGATGCTCTACACGGCTCCACTTAGAATGTTTTTGTAGATTTTTTTTTACCTTGGGTAGTATTCCCTGCTCAGACAGGTGTCTTATGCAACAGGTTCCATGCTTCTTAATATCTTCGCACCAGTGAAGAAAGAACTCTGTACTAAAGAGTGCAATGTATCAGTGGCTTGAAACAACAACCACAAAAACAAACACAGTACACAGGAGACCATGTGAGTGCTGGCCTTCAGAGTAATGGCTTGGCAGGACTCACCTGATTTTTCACTGACATTGATTGCACAAAACATTTTTGCCTCCTTTAAAAGCATCTTGGCAATCAATCATACACAGATGTTTGCTCACTTCCTTATCGACATATGTGTGTCTTAGATGATTCACATAGTTCCACAGACATCTAGTCAGCAGCCTTAAGAAGAGTAAGTGACCTCTTTGACTAATGTCTTCCAAAGAGCAGAACTGAATGAGTAACGAAATCTGTTGAAATTAAAGTTGCTTTATTGTGTGTCATATTATCGTGGATAGTTTTAACTATAAACTCATGATATTTTTTGTGCATATATTTTAATGTGCATATACTGTGTGCTATGGTAACAGCGAACCACTTTGATGAACACCCATAAAGCCAATTACGACACTGATAGAAGTTTGTGGAAGTGGTGGTGAAATATTGATTAATCCGAATTGGGATAGGACAGGATTATCGCTGCCTGATTTGCATCAAATCAGTTAGTTCCTCAGGCACTACCACATCTGACCAGACTGTGTGCTGACTGCTCTTCAAATAAGGAACAGACTCAAACTCAGATGCCTATGTGGCTGGTGCCAATGACATAAATACACCAGCAGATGAGGCTGTGGGAGACGGAGTGGTGGGGTTTTGACACCTTGGACAGCACAAAAGCATACTTTGTTGAAGGAGGAGGCTGCTTCTCATATTCCACTGAGCTGCCCTGCACAACCCTAGATCAGTATTGTCAGATCTGACATTTTAAGATAAGCGGAATCCATGTTCTTAAATCTTTTCCAAATTTTAAATGAAGGAAATTGATTTTTAATAAGTCAACCCCCCCCCCCACCGCGTGGGCCATATCTGTGCAGACCAAAATAAATAAGGAGATGGATGGAAGGATGGATGGATGGATAGATGGATGGATGAATATGTGCAACATGACCCCTGGGTCTCCAACATTGAAGCTTCTGATATTAGTATGTGATATTTGACAAACTTCCTAAAATATCTCAAAGATGCCTCTACTACCATTTCTTCTACCCTGTGCATACACCATTCTTCTGTGCACATAAATATAAAAGGAATACAACTAAAAATTAATTGCCAAACAAGTAATTTTCTTTTCCACTTCTGGTTGAGTAGATGTTCTCAATGAGACTCTGAAATAAAGGACCTAGTGAGTAGCTGAACAATTTGGTATTTTGGATAGTTAAAATGAAGAAAATTCTGAGAAGCTCACTGTTTAACAAGAAAAAGTTGGATAACATCATATAGAACGCCATTTGTAATATATTTTTAAAAATTTTTTGTTAATCCTCACCCAAGGATATTTTTCCACTGATTTTTAGAAAGAGTAAAAGGGAGAGGGAGAGACAGAGAGATAGAGAGTAACATCAATGTGAGAGAGAGATATCAATTGGTTGCCTCCCACAGGGGTCCCAACCAGGGCTGGGCATTGAGCCTGCAACTGAGGTACATGGCCATGACTGGACTTGAACCCGGGACCCTTCAGTCCACGGGCTGAAACTTTATCTACTGAGCCAAACCGACTAGGGCTGTGATATATTTTTAGATAAAGTAAATCATGATATGGATTTTCTTTCACCTAAATTTATTTTGAAAGCAAGGAAGCTTCCCTCAAGGTGTAAATAATCTCATTGTTATTTTGATAATAAAAGTAATTTATAGCCATTGTATAAGTTAAAAACAAAACAAAAAAGCTAAGAGCTGAGGGGAGGAGAGCAAGTGAGGGGGGAATGGGGGCATCTGTAATAGTGTCAACAATAAAAATAAAGAAAAAGGAGCAAAGAAATATACATTATCTGAAACAATGCTGCCCAGTGGGACTTTCTACTGTGATGAAAATGTTTTTTGGCCACACCATCCAATAAGGTAGCCACCAGCCACACGTAGCCTTTGAGCACTTCAAATGTGGCTGGTGCAACTGCTGACTGCTAACTTTTAATTATTTTAAAAACCCACTGAAAAGAATAAGTATGTTTTGATTCTTGGGGGAATGTCCTCCTGGTTTCCTTCTGCCAGAAGCTAGTTTTCTTCTCAGGTTTATGTCACCGTTTCCTGAGAGATTATTAAATAAACTTCGATCCAGAGCAACCTGACTTCAATCACAGACAGAAAGAAATAGCGTAGTGCAGCTGGAATGTGGAAACTGATTCTAGAAGAAGAAAGAAGGAAGCTCCATAAGTCAAGATACCAGCGTGAGGAAGAAATCTGAGGAAGGGGTGAAGAGCATAGGACCAAAAGAGAGAGGGCAGCAAGCCCATGCAGAGGAATTCTCTAAACCCCAGCAATGTAAGAAAAGCTCAGGGAAGCTATAAAATAACCTAGACCAAACAAACAAAGCCTGCTAACAAGTCCTCGGTTAGGAAATAGTAATAATTAAACTAACTTAACGGGTAGTTATAGTGTTTAGTATATTTGACACAGATTCTGTCTTGCTTTATTTAAATGTTCAATAAACTTAGTTATTATTTATCCGTAGGCTTAAGTCCATCTTACAGAAATTCTTTTTAAAGTTTCAGTAACACTCCTTTATAGTAAAAATTATGGAACTTAGATATCCTGGTCAATAGGCTATTTGGCTATCATATTGATTCTCAATTGATTGTAGATATATTTCTGATTGGATCTGTGCCCACCTTTCATTTCCGGTAGGAGAAGGCACAATGAGACATAATATCTGAACAGATATGATGAGGTTGCATCAAGTAGACAAGAAAAGAGAGACCAGTTTATTTGAATGGACCTGGAAGTGTTATAACTTTTAAAATGTCTCTCTTTAAAAAAAACAAACCTTAATTTTTAAAAACCTAGCTAGTCTAATCATGCTTATTTTGATGGTAATACTTCTACTTCCTTCTGCTTCATTACAAACTTGTTTTTTTGTAACAAGTGGACCAGCAAATGTGTGAATGAGCAAGAAATGGCCACCAAATACTGAATTAAACAAACTGAGAGGCTAGAGTTTCTTCAAATGTTTGTGTGCAGTATGTGAAGAAGACAGGTGTCTCATTGAAGAACAGCAACTAATCATTCAAAGTGAAATGAATGCTAAATCTGAAATTGGGCATAGATATCATTTGCAATGATTTTCATTTCTATGGATTTAGAGATTTTATTTTTGTTTTGAAATTTTAAATATTCAAAGTAATTAAGCAGGATTGTAAGCAACATATGCAACGTTTTACTGAGATTTTTATTTCTCAGTGATCAGACAAATGGATATTGAAACTGGTAAGGATCTAAATCTAAAAGGATATTTAAATGCAAATGATTCACAGTTCAAATTTTAAGGTAGAACAAGGGAAGGGACATTTGCAATGGAATTCAGAATTTAATCAATACCAATTTTCATTTGATTATCTGAAATGTGCACAGAAGGCCCAGGGCTAAAGATGAAGTATGCACCCTTTTGGAAATTTAAATTTTTATGTGAGTGTTTATC